TAATGACTTCTAAGGCTAACTCTATATGAAGGAATCATAAAGAATGGTAATTTAAAAATAAAATAAACATTACGCAAAAAATAAATGTAAACAAATTACGGAGATCGGTTGCGTATATGAAGAAAGATTATGCCGAATTAAGGTGTCGAATAAAGATAAAATAATTTTTAAATTCTTTAAATTTTACGTACATAGGACGCTGATGATAAAAAGCCAAAGGCTCAAAAGTCTTCCCCAGGAGTTAGCCTAAAGTCCGCCTGAAGGGCGGCTTCTAGACATAAAGATGTCTATTAATCATATATTTGTAAATATAAAGATGTCTATTAATCATAGTGTCTTTATTATTCTAAATTGACATAAAGCAACATCAGAAATTCATTTCAAAGATTTGATTGAAAAAAAATGAAAAAAAACCCCTTTATCTGTGGTAGATTATATCAACATATAATCCGTCCGGTGCTTTCTTAAAAACAGTCTCAGCACTTGGGAATTCTGTTTGTATCTGTACCTTTCCAGTGATCCGCAAATAAGAATTTAACTATTTTTAAATAGTGAATTCTTTGTTGTATCGAAGTTAATGGAAATAAGTTACACTTTCTGTAACATGAAGGTTTCTTTTTTTAACATTTTCATTGCTACATTGTTATAGCACTGTTGATTGGCTGTGCAGGTTTATTTTATGAAAAGTAGGGAAAAATCATCTAGTTGCGGAGCGTGAGGTCATTGATGGCGGTCTCCTACAATGCTGAAATTTTAGTTTCGATCGGATGCCCGGCAGTACAGATTAACAAAAAAGACACACCCAACCCATAATATAATAATAAAAACTATGTCACCAAAATGTATTATCCGCTTAATCGGTAGACAATTTATAACACAAACGCTAGGAAACGACATTTCATGGAGACTTGAAAATCTATACGTGTGTAGCAAGGGAAGGCAATGTAAGTTTCCTCAAAAAGTATAAGCATGTCTACAGCAGCAGAAATATTAATTGACTTAGTAACATCGGTTAAAAACATCGTGGCCTCTTTAGATTTGACGGTTTCACATTTTACAATTTTTTCTCAGTAGAATTAGTATTGGTATTAAACAATTAGTGTTTTCACGATATGCTTATAGGTCTAACATAAATATAACATTTTTTTTATTTTTAGTCGATACCTGTATCTAAGTAGAACGCTACGTTTTTAAAACAGTGTTTACTACCAGTCGTTATGAACCTACTGTAAATACTATAAACATGTATATGTCATAAATAAATATATACTTAATATAGATATATTAATCAAAATAAGAAAAAATAATGCATTTCTCACAGCTACTTTCTAACGCACACACTAATGTATCGTACTTTCCGTCTTTGTTTACAAGTGAAAGACCGCCACCGCCGCCAAGCGGTCACTTTGAGAATTAATACGACTTGTTCCACTAAGCCCGCAAATTTTGAAATACATCGCTGACAATTTGGAGGTTTTTTTTTCCTTTTTCTTTTTATTTTGCCTGCAGATTTTGCCCAATGCATCCGAAGTCTGCCGATAAGTAATTCATCATTTCTCTTGGACCAACCTTAATTGTTTTATGACCCTTCGCGCAGAACTCTTCATTGCCAATTCAAGAAAGACATTCAGATTACTAACACAAACACAGAGAATGTCTCATATCGAGAATATTTAACATTGAAAAATATAAGGAAAAAATTAATTAATTTTAATAATGTGTGGAAATCTCCGCTTTTACCTGAAGACGGTCACGAGACCAGAAACACATGTAGTAAAATTATGGAAAATAAAGCAAATTATTTTTTTCTAAAAAAACACATTACAACCAAAAACGTTTGCGGCACCTCTCTTCTCTTCTTTGTAATATACATACTTTTCTCTCGGTGGAACCACTATAACCTCTTTTGTTTTGTATATATATATATATATATATATATATATATATATATATATATATATATATATATAGTTCATGAAAAACTAGGTAATCCGTATGGGTAAACTTAAGGAGGATAAAATCCAGAGAGCTCAGTGTAAATTCAGAGCAAATATTTTAAATAAAAACAGACCACTTTAAGGTTCAATATAATAAATTATTTCACCACAGCCCTTTTAAAGGACTGCGGATCAGACTTTACTTCCAAACAAAAAATATATATATGCATAAGTGTGTGCTTGTAGTTTTAAACAAACCAAATTCCCGAGGATTTTTACAGCGACAAAAGTCCCAAATGCATATTTATCTCAGTCTTCATCGTAATAATTGTTTTGGTTATGTATAAAGCGAACATTTATTAGAAATAATCAATATATGACGTGAATTTTCAAATATAAACAGGCGGTAGCGTTCCGTCATGCTTGCAGTTTGTAAGAAACAAAAGCCTTGATATCGTCTCTGAGATTTACATGAGATAAAATGGAAGAAATAAACGCCTAAATGTAAACCTGTTGATTGACTTGACTCTCAGTCACTGGCAGAATCATCGATAAATACGTGTTCAGTGATTGGTTGGATTACGCTCACTTCTTAAATCACTAGAAGCAATTGTTTACTAGTGAAAATCAGTCTGCCATTGGATTTAATCTAGTTAAAAGTGTACATGCGCAGACAGTAATTACAAACACTTGAGTTAGCACCCATTAGACAATTATCTTGTTCACATTTCTTCGTCGTCAAATTATTGATATTAAATGCACACACATAAACACACGCATTCATGCACACATCTCTCTCCCTCTATCTCTCTCTCTTTCCTATATATATATATATATATATATATATATATATATATATATATATATATATATATATATATATAAAGAGAAAGAGATTATATATATATATATATATATATATATATATATATATATATATATATATATATATAAAGATATATATATATATATATATATATATATTAGATATATATATATATTAGATATATAATATATAAAAAGTGTGTGTGTTGTGTTTGTGTGTCGTATTCAATGAAATGTACATATATATCTATCTATCAATGTATCTAACTAGCTATATATATATATATATATATATATATATATATATATATATATATATATATAGATAGATAGATAGATAGATAGATAGATAGATAGATAGATAGATAGATATGTACATTTCATTCAATACGGCATATATATATATATATAAATACACACACACACACACATATATATATATATGTGTGTGTGTGTGAAAAATATATAGAAAATAGGAAAGAACTCGTTAGGTAAATAATCCAAAGTTCTTTAGTATTTTTGTTATTATTTTTTAAAAATAGTGCTCGATACAAAAGTAGAGCATAAATATAATTATTTGAGAACTCTTATGTAGCGTGTTGGAATCATATTTTTAAATAAATAATTATATATATATATATATATATATATATATATATATATATATATATTTTCTGTTTAGAATTGATCTTCTTATTCACTTTGCGTCTTAGTAGTATTATCGCCTGAATTTATTAAAACAAAGAACCATCTCTATCGCTATGAATCTCTCCTTCGTGTGCGATAAAATTATCTAGCAACCAACATCTTTACTAGGAGGAAAGATATGATATAATAGGTCCGCTATCTTATTTTTGTTTCTTATGACACTTTCTTCTAAATAAACGGCAATTCTGTCTGTCCGTCCATATGTCTGAAACAACTCTAAATCGGGCCACACTTGCTCTACATATTATACCTTTTTAGAATCTAAATGATCCCAGGATTGAAAATCTGCTCTTCATCTGGTGCATTGGGATTTGTGTCCGGATTAGGAGGAAACAGTTAAATAATTCAAATTTTAAAATAACTCATAAATTAGTGCTTTTAAAAGTTTTTAATTTATATTGATTTTAAATTAACACAAAACCATTGTAAATTTAAAATCTTTTGTTCCAGTTCAGTTTAAAAAATCTCAAAACCTTGTGAATTGAGGAAATGAATTGTATTTCTTCAAAATGTCAAAGAATCAGAGGTAACGTGAAAGGTTTGTGACGTAAGGTTTTGAAGTTCCGCAGAGTTTGTGATTTGAAGAACTCATTTCACTTAAAGTTCTACGGATTTTAGGATTTGAAGAACCCAATTTTCAACTTGAGTTGGAATTTCGGCTCATATCGGAATTTAGTTCCAAATCGGTTCGGTCAGAATTGGATTATAGCACGAATTATAATTAACCTGAAGTTTTGAACTTCTATATAGAGAACTGGGGAATTCGAAGTGATTTCTTTAAAATTATCTTTCCTATTTTGTGAGAGATATCAGATATCCCTTTATTTTGGGGGCCCAATTAGCCTTACGCAGGAGTGCGACTTTTAAGCTAGTATTTTATATTACTTTATTTTTGCTGTTCCAATTCGCCTTCAGATTTCTGATACACTTTTCGACATTTATTACTACGCTTTCCAGATAGTTAAATTTCCGTATTTGCGTGATTCTGACAAGCTTGCTTCATTCTTATTCCACCTGGCAGTTCACACCTTAGGCTGTCCCTTTTGTTATCGACATTCGGTCTTTAACGTTTTCCTGCTTTACTTTGCATTGCAATCCATTCAAAGTGACAACAAAATGACCAATAGAGATAATGCAGAAATAAGACAATTTAATGTCCGCAACATAACTGATGATTATCAACCCTATTATGCATATAGTAATTTTAAAATCTATAAAGTCCCATCCCTGTCTGCGTATACAGTTATTGTCCTGATGACACTTTTTTTACGGCTTATCAACTCTTTGCAGGTCATTTAAATCCAGAATATATTTTTAATTTATAAGAATTATTTTTGGAGATAATGATTTATCAATGATTACAAGTCTTATCAATTAAACCATAGCTGGGACGAGATTATGTGGATTCATGCCTTTACCAAGGATATTTATACGTAAGTGAATATAACGAACCCAACTGGAATTGGAACTTGGCTCTCGTATTAACAATTCCCAGCCACTTATCCATTACACCACCCGCACATCTAAGCTTATAACACCTGGTATTCCCAAGTGGTCACCCATACATTTACTGACCAGGCTCACTGTTGCTTAACGTCGGTGATCCGAAAGAAACCGGTGTTTTAACG